TTGGCTACTGTAACTGACACCAGGCAGGGCAGCAGAAGGAGGGGGAGTGATCTGAGAGTCCAGCGTCTGCCATCTCTAATCAGGGCCAATCAGGGCTTGAGGTAGCAGCTTGGTGGTGAGTTTAGAAGTGATGAACTCATCCTGGGAGGGGCATCTTGTTCCATGAGTTCAAACCAGTCAGGACAGCAGAAGCAGATGGAATGAGCTTTGCCACTTTTTACCATCATCCGCATGAAATATTCCCACCAACTGCTAGTACCCGCCCTCCTGGACTACATTGTATTTAACTGCTTTGTGTGTGTATGTATGTGTATGTATGAACTTTGTATTTATACTATATATGTTATATATTTTTATACATAGCCTTTATGTGGCACATAGTTATATACACACATATATATACACATACATATGTATAAAAAATTGTCTTGCGGCAGCTAGGTGGAGCAGTAAATAGAGCACTGGCCCTGGAGTCAGGAGGACCTGAGTTCAAATGTGGCCTCAGACACATAACACTTACTACCTGTGTGACTCTGGGTTAAGTCACTTAACTCTAATTGCCTTGCCCCCCCAAAAAAATTGTCTCCCCCCTTAGAATGTAAATTCCGCATAAGTAGGGATTGTCTCATTCATTGTATCCCCAGCACACAACATATTGTCTGGCATACAGTGGGAGCAGCTAGGTGGCTCAGGGATAGAGTGCTGGGCTTAGAGTCTGGAAGAGCTGAATTCAAATCCAACTTCAGAAACTTCCTAGCAGTGTGACCTTGGGCAAGTCACTTAACCTCTATTTGCCTTTGGAGAAGGAAATGGCAAACCACTGTAGTATCTTTACCAAGAAAACCCCCTGGACAGAGGTTCACGGGGTCAAGACTGAATGACTGAAATGGCTGACCAACAACAACAGGTACTTAATAGTGATCTGTTGATTGAATTTAAAAATTATAGAGTTTTATTCTTAAAAGCCCAGCATAATAATTGACCTATAGTAAGCTCTTAGTAGATATTGATTTGGTGAATGAATAAATAACTCCATCATTCATCAAAGAAGCCCTTTTTGAATGAGGAATTGTTTCCCTGCCACATGACATGGGACCCCATAGAAAAAAGACCCTTTAAGGAATTTTCCTGTCTTTTTCTTAAGACCCAGTTTGAAACAGAGTAAGCGAGGATTACTTAATTTTATACCTGTAAGTGAAATATTGTTTTTCTAATTGGAGAGTGAGGTAGGGTGGTAATTTAGAAAATCATTTTTTTTTGTTTTTGTTTATGATGAATTTGTCAAAATGATCAGCTCAGTGCTTTACGTCTGTAATGACAGGGAATTGGCCCGTGAGAAGGTGATGCGAGAAGTGAAGGCTTTGGCCAAGCTTGAGCATCCAGGAATTGTGAGATATTTCAATGCCTGGTTGGAAGCACCACCAGAAAAATGGCAGGAGAAGATGGACGAGCTTTGGCTGAAAGATGAAAGGTGACCTCCTCGCTAATGTTCTCTTCTGGGAGGGCTTTCACTTTGTTGGAAGGAAGATTGTTTATGTATCGCAGGGGAAAATTCTAAAAATTGAAGAGCACCAGCACATTCTTGCTCTTAGTGGTCAGGTTTCTTATAACTTTTCCTGACCACTTGTCAATGAAATCTTTTTTGTAATTAACAAAAATATGTATCGCTCTCTGTTGTCTTTAGATCACCTTTATTTCCTGAATATATCCTGCCCACCTCCACCACCTAGTGAGCCACTCCTTATAACACAGAATAAAAAATAAAGACAAAGGCAGTGCAGTGCAACAAAACTAGTATAGGGATCAGTTCTCTAAATTTACTCCATATTTTGGGCCCATAGGCCCCCACCTCTGCTAAGAATGGAACTAGATACATTTTCTCAACTACTCTCTGGGGCCAAGTTTGGGGTGTGTGTGTCTGTGTCTGTGTGTGTACACACACATACAAACATATATACATACACACATATACTGTTTGTTTTCTTATTTGCTTTTGAGAACAATTATTTTCCTTAGAAAGTATGGCCCTCTGAAATTTAGTTCAATGAGAAACTTGCAAATGATGTTTCTCAAGTATAAAGCATTCTGTGGGCTGCTTTAGTTCTCTTCATTCACATATTTATGCTTTTTTTGTGCTATCTTTCACTTTGGAAATTAACAGTGTTTTATAAGTCTTCTTAGATACTTTTGGACTGCACATTTTAAAACCAAGACCTGCTAGGCATCTTAAATAAATGAAATCCTAACAAAGAATTAGCTCACCCCGCCCCCACATGTGGTCAAATGAATTGGCTAATTTTAGTTGTACAAAATATGCTTTAATGGATTTGCTGCTGGCTTTAATAATGGATTGATTCTTTCCATGCTTGAGCGAAAAAGGAATCTAATAGCCTCAGGAAGGGATCTTGGATATAGCTGCAGTGAATATATATAGCTATATATATACTAAGAGCTATATATATAGCTTGGATATAGCTATAGTGAATAATGCAAAAGAAAAAATCTGGAATAAGATCAACAATATAAATACAAACAGTGAAGGGAGGAACGTTTCTCAAATAATAAGGATGTACTAATTTCAGATTCTGTACACAGCCCCTTCTCAACTGAAGGAGGATAAATAGAGCACCTCTTAATGTGTGTGTGGTCCACTCAGAGTATTACTCCATTGGGTTTAGTTTAGCATGCTTTCTTCAGAAGTGGCCCCATAGTTGGGTTGTAGGCCTGCTGAAATATATACATCCCCCCATTACTATTTGAATCATTTCAGAGGCTCTGGGAATTAGGCTAGCAAGTGGCTAGATACACATTTAACAAAATGGGTAGGGAAGACAGAAAAGCCAGGAATGGACCAGTTCGGGGCTGTTTTTGGCCTGTATCATTACAGGAGATGTGATGCTGTTCTGGCACAATCCAAAGTGGACAGACAACTGCTGAGACTGGCCCTTGGGCCCAGATGTAGGGGTTCCCCAGGAGAGTTTTCAGCTAAAAAAAAAAAAATTGTGACAGCCCTTGGTGATTCCTTTTGAGACTGTAACATAAGAAAGCCTTTTAAGTTGACTTGTCCAAATGGATTAATAATATGGAACTCACTATTTTATGCTTCTGTCTTTCATTTAAAAATTTTTGCTGTTAGCACCAGATGGTTTAAATATATGATTGATTGTTTCGGGATGCTCTGTGCACAGTGAGTCATTAATGCATTAACCGCAGAACAATCTTCTCTGTCTTCATTATCTTACAGCACTGACTGGCCTCTCAGCTCTCCCAGCCCAATGGATGCGCCGTCAGTTAAAATACGCAGAATGGATCCGTTCTCCACAAAGGAACATATTGAAATCATAGCTCCTTCCCCTCAGAGGAGGAGGTCATTCTCTGTAGAGGTTTCTTATGGCCAGGAGAGTTCTGACAGTCACTTCTCTCCCCTGGAGTTTTCTGTTACTAGTAATGGGGATGTGAGCGGCTCAGGAGACCCTGTGGTGAACCTGCAGGACAGCTGCCTCACAGACTGCGGCGTCGAAGATGACACGGTGGACGGCAATGATGAGGGCCATTCCTTTGAATTCTGTCCTTCCAATGGCCTTCCTTACCGGAGGTCCAGGGAGAGAACCTCTTCTTCCATTGTGTTTGAAGACTCTGGCTGTGATAACACCCCCAGTAAGGACCTCAGGCCCGTGGCGTTGCACAACGGCACCTCGTGTGCATGCAAGCTCTCCGGGCTTCAGCAGTCTGACTGGAAATTTTCTTCTGAAAGCCCTTTGTCCATTTCTCCTCCAAGACCGACAACCTTAAGTTTGGACCTCACTAAAAACACTGCTGAAAAACTCCAGCCAAGCTCACCAAAGGTGTATCTTTATATTCAAATGCAGCTTTGCAGAAAGGAGAATCTCAAGGACTGGATGAACCAAAGGTGTGCCCTGGAGGAGAGAGAGAGGGCCGTGTGTCTGCACATCTTCCTGCAGATAGCAGAGGCTGTGGAGTTTCTTCATAGTAAAGGACTTATGCATAGAGACCTCAAGGTGTGTATTCCTAAAGGTGCATGCCACCTTAGGGGTTGAGGGCCTCCCTCTTCCTTGGATCATTTCTGAAGGAACTGCCCCAGGAATCAGGAGCCTTTTTCTCATTTGTGAGAGTAGGATGATGAAGGATGTCAGGATCTCTCTGTAAAGTACCGTGATTCTGCTCCAGATAGATACTCTTTTGTGGGATTGCATGAGAAATTTCTTACTACACGGTTTGGGGTCCTTTCCAAAGTACATTGCTTTTTCTCAGGACAGGAGAAAAAGCACTTCTTCATGGAGTCATTGTTGGGTGAATGGGTTCTTCCCTGTTCCCTGATGCTTTCCATGACCTTTGGACTTTGCCCTGCTTGTTAGCGGCTCTGCTGCAGGGTCAGGAAGGAAAGGATGTGGAGATAGAATCCATCTCTTTTTTTTATAATTGTCAGTAGCAATGGCCAAGGAAGAGAGCCCTGCAGAACTTTCTGATAACTTTATGCTTACGTTTCAGAAAGATAAAGTTCCCCTACAGCTAAACCTAATTTAATCATGTATTTCAATCTTAGGCAGCAGTAATGTTGAGAGCACAGGACTGTCTGCCTTAATGTTCCTGCTCTTTTAATTATTACTAATAGCAATAAGAATAATACTGGATGTGTACATAGCATTTTAGGTTTTCAGCATGCTTAAGCCGCACTGTGTCATTAGGCCCTCACAACAACCTCCTCTCTGTCCATGACGTCAGTGCTGGTATGATCTCTGTTTCACAGATGGGAAAAATGAGGTTCAGGGAGGTTGAATGACTTGTCCACGGTCACGTAGCTGGAAAGTGTCAAAAGTGGTATTTTAATTGAACAAGTATTTCTCACTCACCTAGGAAGTCCTTGATAACACCAGGATTGCCTGACACTTTTTACTTGTTGTAAGTGAACTTGCTTTAGCATAAACTGCTTTGCTCCAAATGATCATGGCTGTGTTTGATAAGTAGATCTGGTCAGTTATCAAAATAATATATTTTTAATTTAAGCTTCTTTTTTTTTGTTTTCTTTTTTGGCAAGGCAATCAGGGTTAAGTGACTTGCCCAGGGTCACACAGCTAGTGAATATCATGTGTCTGAGGCCGGATTTGAACTCAGGTCCTCCTGACTTCAGAGCCAGTGCTCTATCCACTGCGCCACTTAGCTGCCCCTAATTTAAGCTTCTTAAGTAAACAAGGGTCATAGGTTCAGATTGCTTGACTTTTTAGCTGCTTTTCTGATCTTGCAGATTTTTGTTCCATGTGCAGAGATCAGTACATGGGCTCGAATTAGTTCTCACCACTGGTCCTCAGTTTTTGCAGCTTCACGTTTCCCCTAATGCTTTTTGGCATCACCCCATAAAGAACTAAACTTCGTTGCAAGATACTAGATTGAGAGGCAGCTTCAGAGTCAGGAAAATGGGTCATCCTTTCCTTTTTAAAGGAATTCACTTTAGTATACATTTATTTAACTTCTGTTATGGCATAGCATTTGGATAGAATTAGGGTGGCGGTTAGGAAAACTCAGGTTCAGATCTTACCTCAGACACTAACTGCATGACGCTGCTCAAGTCACTTAGCCTATAGATAACTTGGGCAACTCCCACGGACTTACCTACTTAGTCATAATGTTCTGTACACATAAGTAGTTCTGGAAAAAAAAATCATAAAATTACATGTGTGTAAGGCACTTAGAATAAGATGCATTGTCCACCCGCAACAATAATAATGATAATAGGGTTTAAGGAACTGGTGATGTGCATGTAAAAAACTACGACATACGTGGTTGGCTTTGATATTCCTTAGTTGTATGAGTCATAGAATGTAAGAGCTGCAAGGATGCTGAAACAATAATTCCACTTCCTTCATTTTATAGATGATGGAACTGAAGCCAAGAGTTTTCGCCTGGTGTTTCTTATCTTGGGATGAATCCTTAAAATTTTCTCTTTTTTTAATCAAAGCCGGACTTCTCTGGACAGTTATAAGAACCTGGCAGGGACACTTAGGTAGCTGACAGGGTAGTGGTTGTGGCGATAGGCCAGTAGGGATCAGGAGTCACTGCCCGGCACAGAAGGTCAGGAGGCAACCAGTGGATTTTTGGGTTGGAAGGGAGAAGATCAAGGGAGGAAAGAAAAGGACATTTTTTAACTTCAGAGAATAGTAACTCTCAGGCTACACAGATAACTGCTTATTGCTTGGGTAGAAAGAGCCAGCTGCTGTAAATGTACATTTCCCATCATCGTGGAAGGTAAAAAGGGAAGTTTTGTCAGATAACACTGTTACTGTTCTGTTTGACTTTTATTCGGGGATACTTGTACCTGACACTAGTTGGACAAAATGGAGGTGACCTCGGTTCATCGATTGACCCTTGCAATAGTATCATGCTTGAGATGTTGCCTTCTTTAACGACATACTGCAGAATTCCAGGAAGAGCGTGAAGGAGCCTCTTTCCCATTGTGTTTGCTTTCTAGAAAGCAGGCTATCCTTCCTGGAAGTGCATCTGTGCGAAGGGGCCTTTTTTGTGTTTCTTGGAGTCCATTTTCATTCCTCTATGAAAGGATTTCTAGGGTTTGAGAAAAGAAAGCACACAGAGTCCTTTTATCTTCAGTTGAGAATACTGCGTTCAGTAAGCAGTTATTAAGAGCCTGCGCATGAGGACCTAGAGGGCCACATGCGGCCTCGAGGCTGCAGGTGTCCTACCCCTGGCCTACTCCATGCCAGGGACTCTGCTAGACACTGAGGATAGAAAAACAATCCCCGCCTATACAGTCTAAACAGGGGGGTTCTTCTGGCACCCCTGGGACCCGGTGCTTTAGTCAGTGTGATCAGCTCCTGCTTTTTGGCCAGATTAATACGAATTCCTCTGCCAAGGAAGGGACATGGTAAGAGAAATGATGACATTATAATGCCAGTCTGGCTATGTGTTAGCTGCTTAGGTGCCCAGGTTGGTGAGGGGGAAACTCGAAATAATGGTGAAAGTAAGTTATGTGGATTTTGTCATTCTCTGCTTGTGAATAGATCTGAAAAGAGACCTTAATCGGTTTGGGGTGTTTGGATACTGGTAGAGTTGCCATCATAAGATGATTGGTTTCCTTTCGGTATGCTTCAGGGAATTCCCAAGATAGGGTTTATTGTTGTTTTTTTTTTTAAACTTATGTATTTACAGAGAAAGTGAGAGAGAAAAGGAGGGAGGGAGAGGAAAAGTGCATGTGGTCCAAACAGCAGCATAGGAAAGTTCAGAGAGCATCATCAGAAAGTTGGCCTCGAGGTGATGAATTTTCTGGCCACAGCAAACTCAAGGAGACTGTCTACTTACTAATGATGTAAAGGGATCATGCTTTCTATCAGTAGGAATACACAGGGTAGAAGGACTACGTTTTTAAAAACAAAACAAAACAAAACGAAAAAGGACTACGTTTCCAGTCACAGAGCTTTTGGAGTAAGAGATTAATTGAGCATCATTGAATCAGTTTTCTTTTTCTTGACAGGCCACATTCAAAACCACTACCCATTCGTCATTCACGGTTGAGAGTGGCCTGTGCCTTGGATCAGGTCCTCTCTCCTTTCCAGTAATCTCTCTGGGTGTTAATTTCCCATTGTTCCCCTCCCTTCTCACTCCCTCTTCTGCTGTTTTCCCAGCCTTCCAATATATTCTTTACGATGGACGACGTGGTAAAGGTTGGCGACTTTGGGCTGGTGACTGCCATGGACCAGGATGAGGAAGAACAGACGGTTCTGACCCCGATGCCCGATTATGCCAGGCATACAGGACAAGTGGGGACCAAACTTTACATGAGCCCAGAGCAGGTGAGATGTTTCTCCGGTGTGACTGGGAGGAGCAGCTTATCAGTGATTCTAATGGAGACCTCTCAGTAGCTGGCTACTGCACGGGCACTCTTTGTAAACTCATGAACTCCTGGTATCCGTGTACAGATGTGTGTGTAAGAGCCTTGCGTACCGTGTGCCCAGTTTAGAAGTGAGGACTTGGTCAAAGAAAGTCCCGCGGAATGAGAGTGAAATGATGTGCTGCTACCGGCCCAAAGGCCCCTCGGACTGGCTTCAGAAGGCAAAGACCTGGGCAGTGTGGAATGGAGAAGGACTGCTTCACTTCCTCTTTCCACCAGCTCTGTTCTGTGTTAGTGGCTGCTGGGGGACTGGTCTGGGCAGGGTCTGTTGGTCAGATCTAAGATGGCCCTCTGTGAGGAAATTTCTCAAATGGTGTACTCACCCTCTATGAATTACCTGACCTAGGTCATAAGAAGAACAAAAGACTCATTTTTGTAAGCTTTTTCTTTGAAGCAAGGCTTCTTGTTATGAATGCCGTTGGACTATGGAATAGCTGCAATTCATTCATAATTCTCACTATTCAAGGGGGAAGGATTATAATGCCAGTGGCAGTCCTTCTCCCTGTCCCTATCCATAATTCTGGGTGCCAGGAAGTCAAGCCCAGAGGCTCCCGTGGGATGCTCCATCTAAGGTCTGAACTCTGGGAGGACTTGAAGGGTGGATTCTCATTTTCTTTTCCCTTGTGCCCTCATTTTTGCTATGTTATGTCAGGGAGTTATTTTACATTTTTGACAGCCCTGTGATTTCATTTGTATGGGAAACTTCCCAGGTGAGGAAAATCCATCCGTCAGTGCAGACTGGCATCCTGTTTTGCATCCTATCTAATCTTAGAGGAGTGGCCAGAGCCCGAGAAGTTGTGCCTCGCCCAGGCTCACATAGCCACCCTTTGTCAGAGACAGGATTTGAACGGAGACCTTCAATTGCCAATCAGTCAACTAGCATTCATTAAGCCCCTACTATGTGCCAGGCACTGACTGTGTGAGTACAAAGAATGAAAGGTCCTGACTTCCAAAGAGCTTACATTCTAATGGAGGAGACAAGTCCATTCTTAGTATAAACAGAATCAAACCAAATAAATTCAGATGAGTTAGACAAAGGAGTTTGAGAGAGAGAGAGAGGCCATTAGCACTGGGGATGAGGAATGCTTCCTGTCAGAGGTGCTGCTAGAGCTCTGTTTTGAAGGTATAGAGGAGTTCTGTGAGGGATGGAGCTGAGGAAGGGATGTCATGCTAGGCATGGGACAGCTGGGCAAAGACTTGGGGTGGGGGGGATGGAGAGTCATGCATAAGGAACAAAGGGAAGACCATGTTGGAGGGATCTCAGAATGTGGTCCGACCCATGAGGGAGACTTCTTGACTCTCAGGCTGACACAACACAACACAACACAACTCCACACAACCTCATGTCTAGGTCGTTTTGTCATATATCCACAAAGCAATGGATCTCACCTACACATCTTCCTCCAGTGCCTCTTAAGACTCACCAAAGTTCCCAAGGAAGAAAAGAAGCCCAGTGGAATTGGGAAGGGCATCCAGTAGCTTCAGTCATTTAAAAGGAAAGGATCAGGGGAGAGAAGAAAGGGGAGGGGCAGGCAACTAGAGTTTGTCATATGTCACTCTAGGAAAGGGGATGGGGGTCACGAAGATGCAAGGGGCCTGTTTCCATGACTGTGTGGTAACACTGTGGCTGCCAGTGTAAGAAATGCACCTTCAGAGCCTTCAAAATGGTGGCAAAGCCTCAAGCCTCTCTCTGGCAATTTAAGAGCTGTAGACCCAAAAGAAGCTTCAGTCTCCTTCTGTCACCTGCTTCCTTCTTTGGTACTTACATACCCAAATCTCTGCCATCCTTTGAAAACAAAAAAACAAAACCTCATCGTACCCTATTGTTGTGTTTAATTGTTTCAGTTGTGTCTGACTCTTCATGACCCCATTTGGGGTTTTCTTGGTAGAGATACTAAAGTGGTTTGCCATTCCCTTCTCCAGCTTATTTTACAGATGAGGAAGCTGAGGCAAATGGGGTGAATTGACTTGCCCAGAGTTACACAGCTAGTAAGTTTCTGAGGCCGGATCTGGACTCAGGAAGATGAGTTGTTCTGACTCCCAGCCTGAGCTCTGTACACTTTGGCGCCACCTAGCCGCCTGTCTTTTAACGAGTCAGTGGTAGCTTGGAAGACAGTCTCTAGTGGGACAGCCCAAGATCTGTGCTCCTCCCGGTGTGAGCACTTTAACATTTTTACCAGTGACTCGGGATGAGTGTCACGCTTGTTGTATTTGAAGGTGGCCCAAAGCCAGCCTGGGTAGTTGAGTGTTGGGATCCAAAAAGCTTTTGATAAAGAGTTTCAACATTAGGTCTAATTAAGCTAATGAAGTTGGATGAGGGTTCGGGAATTATTTGGACAAGGAAAAGGGGAGGTGAACTAGACAGCCGTTTGATTAAAAAGTCATTTGATTTTAATGAACTCCAAGCTGACTGTGAATCAACAGTGAGACACGGCAACCACCAAAGCTAATGTCATTTTAGGCTGTATTGAGGAAAGTGGCGTCCAGGACTGAGGGCGTGACCATCCCGATGTGTCAGGCCCTAGTTGTACCATGCCTGGAGCTCTGTGTTTAGTTTTGGGCACCAATTTGAGGAAGGGCATTGATGAGCTTAAGAGGTTGCTGAAGAAGGTATATTGGCTGGTGAAAAGCCTTGAGGTCATGCCAGATGAGGATTGGTTAAAATAATTAGGGAAATTTAGAAGTTGCTAAGAGACAAATTTGGGCTTGATGTTAGGAAACACTTGCTCACAATCAGAGCTGCTGCCCTAAAGTGGAAGGGCCTGCCTTGGGAGGGAGGGAGGAAGTTCCCCAGTCACTGGAGCCACCTTTCTGGCAGGTTGTGAAGGGGCTTTGTGTCCAGGTATAAACCAAATTGGAAGGTTCCCAAGGCTCCTCCCAGCTCTGAGCTTCTAAGACGCTGCATGACCTGTAGAGAACATAGCTCCCAGCTACATGGTTAACAGAATTTTTATGTTCTTAATTAACTGTCCTTGCTGCTTTGTGTGGGCTAAGAGGTAACTAGATATGCCATGAATGTCATTGATGCCTTTTTATTCACTGATTTCTTCATCGATATTGTTTATTTCACTAATTCCCATCTCATGTTGGATTTCAGATTTATGGGAATACTTATTCCCATAAAGTGGACATCTTTTCTTTGGGCCTGATCCTATTTGAACTGCTATACCCGTTCAGCACTCAGATGGAGAGGGTCAAGGTGAGTGTTTCTTTTAAAAAGAATGAAACAAAATAGTGATAAAAGATATAAGAATAAAGTTCAAGGAAAAACTAAATTCTTAAAGTAACAAGCTAATAAACGTTAGAAATGGAACATGACATGAGGAGGGAAGTCTTGTCAAGGATGAGATTACCCTGGGAGAGTTGTAACGGTTGTTAATTTAGAATTATTTGCACAAATTATGTTCAATTTCAGTTAAATCTTTAGTTTTTAAGTTATGGCTAGTTGAATTTGTTCCCATAATTTTACTTCATCTTCTTATAATTTACCAATTTGTTGAATATGTACTGTGCATCCACTAAAATGTGTGAAGGAGATTGAAACATAAACCTTATTCTCACCCATCAATAAATTTGCCATTTTTAGTTAAGGAAGGGAAAGGAACACATGGGAAACAGAAGGATAAGTGATTTGTTGGGATAAGAAGGTCCCTCAAAGTATGGATTTGGAGAGTCACAAGAGCAGGTTAGGGTGTAATAACATTCGTTCTTCAAACCTTGATTGAGTCCCTGCTAAGTGCCAGGAACATGTGAGGCCTTGGGGCCACTAGGACAGCAGTGAAGCAATCTGTCCTCCAGAGCTGACCCCCGTGTTGTTGACTGGAGTGAGGGTGAGTCTTCTGGGAGGTTCACTGGCCCTCTGAGAGAGCAGGGAGTATATCAGAATCCCAGTTACTGCAGGGCAGCTCCGAGAGCTCCCCAAGAGCCTGCCTCAGTTAATGGTGCCATGTAACATGAGCAGAGGCCTGGAGGAGAGCCAGGGAGAGAGCAGTTCAAATAGGGTATGCATGGGGACAAGCAAGCAGGTAGCCAGATGGGGCTGCACCCTAAAGGGCAGCAGGAGGACTTGGGGCTCTGTGCGGTGGGCAGTACCCCAAACTGGGTCTTCACCTGAGAGATGGCGTCTACCCTTCTTTACTGAGGAGCAGGGCCTGTGGGTATGGAGCATGGCGAGCACTGGTCAGCCTGCATGGAGGGCTTTGTTAGTTTGGCTGAGCTGCTTTCTTCCTCATTCTTTTCATTCTTTGTTCCAAGGGCTGATTCTCCTGAGATGGAAAGGTTGGGGGGAGGGAAGAGGACTAGATTCAGAAAGGAAGCAGAAAATGGTTTAAAGGGATCAATTGGGTTTGTGTTTTTCAATCCCAAGGCCTAAAACAAAAGTAACATTTTCTGTTTTTTGTTTTTTTTAGTGAGGCAATTGGGGTTAAGTGACTTGCCCAAGGTCACACAGCTAGTACGTGTCAAGTGTTTGGTCTGAGGCCGGATTTGAACTCAGGTCCTCATGACTTCTATCCACTGCTCTATCCACTGCGCCACCTAGCTGCCCCTCAAAAGTACCATTTTCAAAATATAATTAATTTACTCCCCGCAGTGATTATGTGAAAGCTAGCCATTGACCCTTAGGCTACCTGTGGAGCTTTGTGTTAAGTCACTTGCTTTTTCTTACTCCCTTTCAAATGTTCCCAGAGAGCTTAGGCAGGAAGTGAAGATGACCCCCGGTGACCATCTTCTCCTCACCAATAAGCCTCTCTCATTCCTTTGCCACCCAATCAGAAGTTTACCTAGGAGGTGGGAGGGCACGTCTCTTTCTAAATTCCTTTCACGATATTTTTACTGCATTTTAAGATGAGGAGTAGTGATTTAAAATGAAGACATCCTCACCTCAGGGCTGCCTTCTGGTACAACTGCCTCATTCACTACTTTAATAATTTGGTGTCATGAGATTGATCTCCTTCCTCTTTCATCTCCTTTCCTTTCTGTCTTCAACCCCCTTCACTTAAGGAGATGACATCCCCCTGATGATCTCAGACCTCGATTTGGACGGGGCAGCACCGAGCGCTCCTGTCATCCTCAATTCCTCTTTAATCTGGCTCTGGCACGTTTGCCTTAGTGAGAAAGCCTAATTACAGCGGCTTATTAGGTGATCAGATTTCTCTGACAGCAGAATGTGCTCAGAGTCTCACCTCCAGCAGGAGAAAGCCACTGCGGAATCCTGCCTGCCGTGGGCCACTGAACTGTCATTCTGCACTGGAAAGTGTTTTGTTCCTATTAGACTCACTCAGTTATTCTGCTGGGCTCCCTTTGATACCTGTTTTTTTTTTTAAATCAGTTTATATTAATGCCTTTTGTTTTTACGTCCTGTTGTTTATGTCACAGGTTACTGCTCCTCCCCCTCAGTATGTCCCCTCTCCTCTAGGAGCCTTCCTTGTAAAAAACAAAAGAACCTGTTCAGCAAAACAGCCCCCAAATGCCCTCCCCCATCTGACAGTGCTTGCAGCATCCCACCCACACTGTCTCCCACCTTTCCCATGAAAGGAGGAAGCAGTGTTTCCTCATCTCTTCTCTAGAGCCAAGATACATCTTTATAAAACTGCAGCACTGTTTTGTTTTGTTGTTTACTTTTTGTTTACGCTATTGCAGTCATCTGTATTGTTTTGCTGATTCTGCTTACTGCAGTCTGCATAAGTTCATACAAATCTTCAAATGTTTCTCTGAAATCTGTAGGAACATTCCATTGTATCTACATGCCACAGTTTGTTTAGCCATTACCCAGTCATTGGGCCCATTAGTAGAAACACTTAAATACGTGTTATAAAGCAGCACCCACAGGCCAAGAAAGGCCTGGTTCCAGTGCTTAAAATTTTTAAAAAAGCTAATTTTAAAAAAACACTTTCATTGAATTTAAAACAATGAGCTCAAAGCTAAGTTGACAAAAAGCCTTACTTGTTAAATCTCGGCTTCAAATTTTAGTTCTTTTAATTCAGTGCATTTCCAAAATGCCCTTCACTTTCTCCAGCCCAGGGCCAGGCTTGTCTCTGGGCCTTGACCATCCTTGGGTGCAGGCACCCCTCTCCTCCCAGTTCATTGGAGTTTCTTCCTCTTTGTGTGTCAGAAATTCAGGTTTTTCCACAGTGTAGTCATGGCGTAGGTGACTCGTCATTCTGACTTATCCTTTAAAGTGGATGGATAAATAAATGCCTGTCCAATTCCATTAGGACATTGGGCTCAGGAGAGGCAGGGATTGTAGAGCCCATTTAATCCAACATCCTCACTTTTCATATGAGGACATGGAAGTCTGGAAATGTGAAAACACTGGCCACGGTCCCCTGGGCTGCAGGTGTCAGAGCCTGGGCTCAAGCCCCACTATGCGGTGCTGGTGGCTTCTGAAAGCTAGTTTTTCTTGTCAGGGAAGGGAGGGAGGGAAGGGGAATAAACATGCATATGGCTCCTTTATGTTCTAGGCCTGTGCGAGGCGCCTTTGCAAACATTATCTCATTTGATCCTCTCATCCAAAGATGATACAATATTGGCATGAAGTTTAGTGAATAAACAGCTCAGGAATGTTTCTCCCTTGGAGGGAGGTAATATGCCTGTTCTGGGTAAATCCATGAATGATGGGCTCTTTGGCAAAAGCCCTTTCATCTCTCCTGATATCCCGGAGTCAGAGCCACATATCCCAGGCTTTTCCTGTGGCGTTGGGATCTAATTACGTTTACATTATTTGCTGGGGTTTGATCCCTTGATGCAGTGTATATTGGGACTCTGAAAAACAGAGATAGACGATTTTGGCAGGAGGAGATGTCAAGTTTTCCTTTGATTTCATTTCACTTTCCTCTTGGTCATTCTAGCCATCAAAAAAGTTTTGTTTTCAAAATGTTTAGATCTATGATGGGACAAGAAATAAAAGGGTGAAAAGACACTCAGCACTTCTTTTTTCTTTTTCAGACATTAAGTGATGTAAGGAATCTCAAATTTCCACCACTGTTTGCTCAGAAATATCCTCAAGAAGTAAGTATGTGTGTACTCACTCATCCGACTTATTCTTTAGAAGCCTAGGCTGGCAGAGCTGGAAACAACCTCTTGAGATCATCTCGTCCAGGGATGAGGACCTAGATTCTAGTCTCTCCTCCCCGTTCTGTAGATAACAAATTAAGGCTAAAAACTGAAGTGGCTTGTCCAAGGTCACTGAGTAAGCACGGCAGACCTGGGATGAGAGCCCTGCTCTCTTGATGCCCTATGCAGTGAGTTTTCCTGTGGTACCATCCTGCCTCCCTCACATAACATTAAATTACCTGCTTCACTCATTCTGGGATAGTAACCATAGATACTTGTAGGACATATGCTTAACTTTTCAGAGCACTGGCTTATTTTAGCCTTACAGGTTCTGCTTTTTCAGTTAGAAAAAGGTGTTTGCATATCACACTGTTAATAATTCTCCTGTATCCCACTAAAAAGTTTCCCCACTCAACCACAATATAGTTTCTCGTCAGATTTCATAATGAAATGTTTTAAAATGTATTGAGTTCCAAAGCAAAGAAATAAATGCTTGTATCAAAGTGCTCAGTCTTCCTTTTCCCTCTTTGTTCAGTTTTTTTATCCCCCCAGAGCCCTCAAGCTCTTTGACTTTTTCTGTCATCCCCCTTTCGTTTCCCTCTGCCCACATTTGCCTGAATTTACTTCGGCTTTGTTTCAGCTTTCCTTTCCCCTTGACTTCCTTCCTCTCTCCTGGTGGTCCCTGCCCACCTGGTCCATTGCCTTCATCCTTTTCAGCTGCTCCTCCCTCGCTTCCCTTCCTCTTTTACGGGTGTTAGACCAGATCAATGCCAAAGCTGCCCCCACTCGATTTTCTTCCCCGTGCTGCCTTCTTGAGATGCTCTTTGTTTATCCTTCAGGAAGGCACCTTTCTTCCCTCACCTTTGTTTTCCTGACACCGTCTAAAATCTGCAACATTCTGGTCTGGTAGACAGGCCAAATATTATTCTCCCTGCTGGAGTAATTAGCAAAATGGGGAACAGACAGGTTAAGGCACTTGCTTAAATTCCTGCAGCTAATTAGTTGGGGGGCCCCCCCAACAGTTAATTAACTTCATTGTGTCAGCTATAAGCTAATAGTTTCCTATGCAATGGGGAGGCCCATCTGCAAATAGGCCACTTGCTACAAATTTACCTTCACGTAGATGGACAGTTTATAAGCTTAAAGATCTCAAATGCATAGAGCATGTAAACAATCTAGCTTTGATGATTCTTTCCCAGTTCTCCATCTTTATTCTCCCTTTGCTCTCCTATTAAACACACACAGAGAACCTAGTCCATTCTTGCTTTAAACATTAGAAGCTTTAAGTAAACTATTTTTACCTCTATTGCCTCTTTTTTCAATGAAAAAATTGAGGCCATTCACTGAGAGTTCTTAACTCTCCCCTCCTCGTCCTCACGTTGCTCAGACATCTTCCCCCACTCTCTTCTCCTTTGCCTCTTTGTCTCATGAAGATATGACTCTTCTCCTTGCCAGGGAACACCTGTCTAAATGCACAGGGGATTGCCTCCCATCCTCTCTTCTCCAGCAGATTACCTCCTCTACAATCCTCTTTCTGCTCTAATCTTCGGTCTTTCCCCATCCATTGGCTCCTTCCCTGTTGTCTGCAGACATGCCAATGTTTCCCCTATCTCTGAGGAGGCTTCACTTGATTCTGCCATCGCTGCTGGCTGTTGTCCTATATCTCTCATCCCCTTATTGGTTAAACTCCTTGAGAAAGCCATCTACAACCTGCACCCCCATTTCCTCTCTTCTCCCTATTTCTCAACTCTTTGCAAATAAGGCTTGCAGCAGCCTTATCTTCAAACTCAAAATGCTGTCTCTCCAAAGTCACCAGTGATTTCTGAATTGGCAAATCTAACACCCTTTTCATAGCCCTGATCCTTCTTGAACTCTCGAGCCTTCGATATTGTCGATCACCTCCCAGATTCTCTCTTCTCTAGGTTTTCATGACGTTGTTCTCTCCTGGCTCTCTTCCTACTTTTCCAGATGCTCTTTCTTGGCTTTTTGGGTTTTTTTTTTCCCCTGGTTCTTCACCCAGATCGTGGCCACTAATGGTAGGTGATCCCCAAGGCTGTGTCCTGGGCCCTTTTCTCTTCTCCCTCAATGGTATCTTGTTTGGCACCTCATCAGCTCTCTTGTGTTCAATTTTCATTTCTATGCACATGGTTGCCAGATCTGGGTATCCACCCCTGACCTCTCTCTTGAGCTCCAGTCTCACATCACCGACCGCCTTGTGGACATCTCAAATTGGATCTCCCATAGAGATCTTAAGCTCAACACATCCAAAGCAAAACTCGTTATCTTTATCCCACCATCATTATTATCCCATATGTGTCATCAGTATTCCTCCCACCACCCCTACTATCATTGTTGAGGGACCCACCTTCATCCTAGCCTCCAGGCTGGCATCCCTGACGTCGTCCACAGCTCCTCATGGGCACACACTTCACCGTTGTGTTCTGTTGTCCAGTCTTGTCATCTCTACTTTTACAGCATCTCCTGTGTGTCCCCTTCTCTCCATGCATACACCCACAAGCCTGGTGCAGGCTGTCATCACCTCACCCCTGGACTGTTGTACTACACTATCCTATTGTTTGGTCCCTCCAATGCCAGAGTGAATGTTCCCACAACACCAGTCTGACCAGGTCATCCCCTTTATGTCCAGCGTTCTTATGCTTTACTCTTCTCCATATGCTTCTTCTTGAGGTGACACCTGTGTTCTTGATGTGGCTGGCACCTGACACCTGGCCAATGCCTCCTCACCTCTCCTTCCTGCTTTCAAGACTGGGCTCCAATCCCATCCTCTGCTAGAGGCCTTTCCCAGTCTCCCTCTGAGATCACTTTCCTCTTACACCGCATCTGTTTGCATGTTGTCTCTTCCATTAGAATGCGAGCTGCCTGAGGGCAGACACTGGGTTTTTGCCTTTCCTTGTATCTGTAGCTCTTAGCACAGTGCCTGGCACATAGCCAGTACTCGGTAACAGTGTGTTGACTGCTTGACTATGAATGCTAGGTTGTGGAGCTGTAAAGATCCTTTGAAATCATCTTGTTCAAACTTCTTATTTTGAGGATGAAGAAACTTGGCACAGTGGGTAGAGACCTGAGTCTGCAGTCAGGAAGGCCTGAGCTCAAATCCAGCCTCAGACGCTTACTTGAGTGCTTACCTTGGGCAAGGCCCTTAATCTCTCTGAGCCTCAGTTTCCCCATCTGTAAAACAGGGATCAGAACAGCACCTGCCTTTCAGGGTTGTGTATCTTTGAAGAATTTTTCACAGCCAAAATAGAAGATACATTTAGCCTTCACCCAGGGTTGTCATAAGGATAAAATGAGGTGACATTTGTAAAGCACTTGGCACAGTGCCTGGCACATAATAGGTGCCCTATGAATGTTAGCTATTATTATTGGCTGTTATTAGTGAAGGCGTGAAGAGAAAAGCCCAAAGTTACCTGGGTAGGAAGTGGATGAGCTGGCGTTTGCCTCCACGCCAAGGGACTCCAAAGGAGTCTTCCCCTGCCTCCATGTAGTACCGTCCTCTTTGTCCAGAGAGTTGCTTCTCATCCTTTCCTTACTCCAGTGTTTCTCCCTTCAGACTCTTGTCCCTTTTAAGATTGTCCTGGTTCATTCCACGTGTTCTGCACCTTGGACGCCAGCCCTTTCTTCATCCTTGAAACGCCATCGGTGTCTCGGTGGGATGGGGGTGCGAGGAGAGGGAGAGAGACTCTCCCTGGGGTTCTGGGCAGGCTGCTGGTTAACCCCTTAGGGCCAGCTAAGTTGGAGGCGATGATTGTGCTGCCCACTTCACACGGTTCTTACGTTCAAATTGTTAATAAGAATTTTTATTCACTTGTATTGATAAAAAGCTTTCTTTATCATTGAGGACATGCATAGCAGAGAGGAGCTCAGTAAATGGTAGAGGAGAATTGGAAGGAAGGGCTGGGATAGGTCAGTGTGCTAGGCAGGGCCTCAGCGAGGCCCTGGGGACCCAGCCACTGCCCACCCTGCAGCTTCCATTTTTGGGGGGAGGGAAAGCAATATGTATGCAGAGGTGAGGGACTGAAAATGAGGAGGGTTGGGAGAGACCGTGTGGGAGCCGTCATGAGCTGAAGGTCGCAAAAGATTCGGAGAGGCCGAGATGTGGAGGGAGTGAATCTAGGCATGAAGGGACACCCTGTGCCAAGGCCCAGAGATGGGAGATGGAATGTTATTGGGGGGGGGGGGTGTGAAATAATGGTAAAAATCCCATGTCAGGGAAAACTGCAGTGTCACAGCTGAAGAAGAGGACAGAGTCAGACCTGATACAACAGCCCAAGTTCTCCAGCAGATTGTGAAAATCTTTATGCATTCGAGAGCACCTGGTTCAGTAATTAGGCATTCATTGTCAAAAAGCCAAACATTGTTGACTGATGTGAAACCTTGCTTCCTGAGCTCGCCTTCATTCTTTTACCCTAAATTTTGTTTCCTTAATATTTCAGTACACGATGGTTCAACACATGCTTTCTCCGTCTCCCACGGAGCGACCCGAGGCCACGGACATCATTGAAAATCCTTTATTTGAAGACTTGGAGCTCCCAGGGAAAACGGTGCTCAGGCAGAGGTCTCGCTCCCTGAGTTCATCAGGAATGAAGCATTCAAGGCAACCCAGCAAGTAGTGGCACCATGGCAGCCCAGCCGACCGTAACCCTACTGGGCCGGCCTGGCCCCAAAAGTCACATCCCACCCGCTTCTTAGACTTGAAAATCATGTTCTCGGGCTGTTTAAATTTGGCCTGTTCTGGGTAAGGCAGGTTTAAATGGCCTTCTCAGGCAAGGCATGAGAATGTTGATCAATGTCTGTTCTTCAGACAGTCCCTGACCTTTTCTCCGGGGTCCCTTCCGCTTTAGTCCCTCCTCGCTGGCTGGCCACTTTCCACTTCTGATGACCTTCACTCTTTCATGTGTTGGGATGTCTTTAAAGCCTGCCACCTGGGAAGAGAAAGATTCCTAAATGTATATAGAATTAAGATATTTTTATAGTACAGAAGAAGGTCTCCACATGCCATGATTCTATTCTAGAAATTTACTCTTTGAGGACATAATGGTGATTTTCAAAACTGGGATCCCCAAAAGCAGACTCTCTTTTTGTCCTGGTTGGTCCAGTTAGGAATCTGCACTATTTACAGGGCAGGTAGCACAATGGTAGAGAAGCCTCTGTCTAAAGCTAGTTTTCTAGGGGTATCTGTGGTATTATAGTTCCATATCTTAGATGGTCCTAAGCAAAGGTTAAAGGCAGTTTGTATTTGCACTCCAGTAGAGGGAAATGAAGCTTTTGATGTAAATTGGCCATAGGCACTAGGGTTTTTTTGGAGGCAAAAAAATCTTAGTAAGAAGTGAACATATATTACAGCTAATTCTTACAATTATGGAAAATTTCCAGCCTAATGAAATCATATGTCTTAACATAATCTTGTAGATTGGTACTTTTTGAAATCTGATTGTAGACTACTGCTTAATTATCTAACTTATCTGCCTAATATGGTTTTTATTTTTCACTGTAAATATGTTCATTTTTATTTATAAAAATGCTGAATCAATCCATTTGGGTTGGTGGTGTACAGAACACACATAAAAGTGTGTTAACTATTGTGACTTCTTTCAAGTCTAAATGATTTAATAAAACTTTTTTATTTATGGCTTGTCTTTTACTTTGTGAAAATCACAAAACAGAGTTCTCTTAAATTTTCCAGGAGGGAATGAAAGGGCTGGTCACTTCTCTGCCTTCAGGAAGCTCTGGTTCTAGGGCCCAGAGGCACATTCAGAAAGAGATCCCACAGCTTCGGGAGAACCTCACGTTCCTTTCTTTTCCTCTCTATGTAAGGTCCTCAGAAGGCATCAGCAACAGCAACAAATATATTTATTGGCTGAGTGCCCAAGCCCAGTGCAGTCAGATACAAATCCTTCTTCCTCTATTTGGTTTTGCTTGGTGATCTCATCAGCTGCCATGGGCTCAATCATCATCTCTGTCTATGCTGGTGATTTTCACATTTGCTTACCCAGCCCTAGCTTCTCTGCTGACCTCCACTCTCGAATTTCCAACTGTCCAACATCTCAGACAGGATTTCCAGTAGACTTCTTAAACTCAGTGTGTCCAAAAATGAACTCATTGTCTTTCCCTCCAAACTTCCCTGTTACTGTTGAAGGCAAGACCATCCTCCCACTCGCCCAGGCCAGCAAGCTCAGTGTCATGCCCAATTCCTCACTATCTCTCACTGTCCCCACATCTAATCCCTCGCCAATTTTACCTTTGTGGCATCTCTTGGATACCACTCCCTGACTTCCCCCCTCCTCTGACACTGCCACTTCTTTGTAAAAGAGAGGGCCTCATTCCCTGGACTACTCCCATAGCCTGCCACAAGCCTCTCCCCACTCCAGCCCATCCTCCACTCAGCTGCTAAAGTCGTTTTTCTAAAGCACAGGTTGGACCATGTCACCCACATAGTCAATAAACTGCAGTGGCTCTCTCACCTCCAGGATCAAATATAAAATCCTCTGTTTGGTGTTCAAAGCCCTTTAAAACCTAGCCCCTCCCACCTTTCCAGTCTCTTCTCCCTTCCCCCATACTCTCTGATCAAGTAATACTGGTCCTTGCTGTTCCTCATAGGAGACCCTCTCATCCCCTGACTCTTGGCATTTTCACTGTCTGTGTTTCCCATGCCTGGAATGCCCTCCCTCCTCATCGTTGCCTCCTGGATTCCCTGTTTTCCTTCAGATTCCGGATAATGTCCTACCTTCTACAGGAAGCCTTTCCCATTCCCTCTTAATTTCCTCTGTTGATTATTTCCTACTTATCCTGAACATAGAGTGTTTGTAGATGGTTGTTTGCACAATGGGCATGTTGTTTAGTTGTTTTCAGTCATGGTCCACTCTTCGTGACCCCATTTGGGGTTTTCTTGGCAGAGATATTAGAGTGGTTTGCCTTTTCCTTCTCCAGCTCATTTTCTCGAAAAGGAAACTTAGGCAAATAGGCTTAAGTGCCTTGTCCAGGACCACACAGCTAGTAAGTATCTGAGGGCAGATTTGAATTTAGGTCTTCCTGACTTTAGACTCAGCCCTCTATCCGCTGGGTCACCTAGCTGCCGTATAATAATCATAGCTGGCATTTATAGAGTGCCTACTTTTTGTACTCTACAATTATTATCTCATTTGGTCCTCATGACAACTGTGAGAGGTAGGTGCTATTATTATCTCCATTTTACATCCGAGGAAACTGAGGCAAGCAAAAGTTAAGTGAATTGCCTGAGGTCACCCAGCTAGTGTCTGAGGCCAGATTTGAACTGGGGTCTTCCTGACTCCAGGCTGAGCCCTCTATGCACTGTGCCACCTAGCTGCCTAAACAAATATCTCGTTTGATTTTCACAACAACTGTGAGAGGTAGGTGCGATTATTATCCCCATTTGACAGTTGGGAGAACTGAGTTACGTAGAGTATGACCCTGACTTGCCCATGGTCACACAGCTTTAAGTGTCTGAATCAGAATTTGAATTCAGGTCTTCCTGACTCCAGGCTCAACACTCTACCCATTGCACTTCCTAGATGCCTAGTTTGCATATTGTCTCCCTCATTAGACTGAGCGCTCCTTGAGGGCAGGGACTGTCTTTTGCTTTTTTTTGTATCCTCAGTGTGTAGTACAGTGCCTGGAACATAGTATGTGTGTAATAAATGTGTATTGACTGATTTTGAGAAAACAGTCCAGTTGGGGAGACGGGATGCTGTACACATAATGAAATTATTAACAATAGAAGATGGTGGCAATTCATCTAAGTAGTTCTGACTACTTCCTGAAGGGCATATCCTCCATGCTGCCCCTTCCACTTTTAGCCCCCACTGTTGATATTGGAGTGGCCATAAGGCCAGGGTCTTAAAAACCATGCTAGCAAGCAGCATGAGGTCTGAGAGGCCCTACCGTCCTGGGAAGACTTCACGTCCAAGCCAAGTGCCAAACATCTGTTATCTCAGAACCAGCCAAGGGGAAGGATAACAATGTGGATCTTTGAAGTAATGAACTAGAAATGATAGATCATATTACCTCTAGAGTCCTTTTTCAGGCTCTAAAGGTGACATGTCATTTTGACTGTCTGGTTGCCCCCACTTTCCTGGGGACTCACCATGTTGGTGATGGATTAATGCAGACACCTGATTGGCTTGGTCCACTGCCACTCAGAACTCCTGAGCTCAATTGCTTCACCATCCTTAACCTCCCTGAGAGCAAGGATTAGAAGCTTCCTGCACCGTGCCTGACCCAATTAATATTTGGATTAAATATCCCGGCTCAATGTATGTTTGAATGAATGAGAAACACCTTTGGCTCCCCATGGTTGATCTAGTTGCTCCAACTGTGTCTTAGGCAAAAATCTTTGATTTAACCTGAGTTACCCATGTTATGTGCTTCTTACCAAGTTGTTGCCTTAATTTGCTAATTATTTTAACAAAACAAGACAACTGTTACTAGAAACCAAATGCAAAAAAAACTGATGGTTAATGTGTTTATTTCATTATTGTGCATTTCATTAGTTGGGGCTATTTTAAGAAAAAATATTTAGTGACAGGGATTCCAACTTAGAGGAAGACATCCTAGGCTCAGAAGAAGCTGACTTGGAGAAGAGCTGGTGCCTCAGGATGTCCTTATTTCTAGTTTGTCGCACTGGAGACTAGGGGGATTTCCCCTTGGATGAGATTGGGGATCCCCTCTTTGTTGAGGTAGGCTATCTCTCTCCCAGTGGGACAGCATAATCCACTGTGTATTTTTGTAAATTTTCAACGTGCAAGGCACATTAAGTACAGCATAAACACAGTTCGTTTCCCAGTATGAGTATTTGCTAACACGTCTGCTACTATGTAATCAGTATTGGTAAAAGAGATACCAGACAGCTCCTAGAGGCTAGTGTAATCCTGATGCAAAACATAAGCTGTGAGGGACTGTCTGATGTTGGCAGTTGCCAGTTGGGCGCTGTGGCAAGAGTAGGGTAGAATCTGGGTATTTTGGAAGCCGAGGCAGGGGCTGTGGTAGACAGAGTCGTGGTGAACTGGGATGGGCTGGGTACGGAGAAGCCTTGAGGCAGTGGGCAGTGCTATGTGAGATAAGCTGGGTGCAAGGAAGTAGCGGAGCTTGTGCTCCTGAGGCAAGGGGCGGTGCCACGTGGGAGTGGGACTGCAGAGGACTGAGTTCCCTTTGCTTAGTCCCCTCCCTATATGCAACGTCAACCCCAGACGCCTCCATCTTGTGACCTTCCTGACTTTCTGGGTCCCTTTGTGTAGCACTGACCCCAGAGGCCTCCTCCCAGTATCTGAGTCTGACTTCCTAGGTCATGTACTCTGTCTATGCACTAATCCCAGACGCCTCCTTCCTGTATCCGGTCCTAGCCTCCTACGTCACTCCTTCCCCCTTGGTGTGCTAAACTCAGACAGCCCCTTCCGGTATCTGACCCTACAATCATTGGCTAGTAAGCGGGCTGGGGAGGAGGGGCTAAGTAAGTACTTAGGAACGAGCGTGGTCAGATCACGCGCTCTCGCGCTCTCTCTTGGCTCCTGCTCTGTTGCTCTGGCCTTACTGCTTGGGCTTGCTGTGATGGCTTGCTGTGATGGCCTCTGAATAAAGCTGTGGTGTTGGCGCCTCCCGATGGCTCGTCTCTGTGTGTTTATCCGGCTGAGGACCGAAGACTCGAAAGTGAGTATGACTCTGGCAGCCTGCTCCTTATAGGAGGAGAGGGTCGGCGCGGCCGGTACAATAAGCCGCATAATTTCACAGGCAGGAACGTGGCTGGTGATAGGGGTATTTCCTTTGTTTATGCAGAGCACAGTGCATTCATGCCTGTCTATCCACGGGTCTTGTCCACGCTCCTCATAAGTTTGCTATGGGGTAGATGGGGTCTGTCCAGTATGCTGGGGGTTCTTCTCTTTCCCTTGACATGGTGTGGCTGACAGTGTACATAGGTACCCTTGATAGCTTCTTATTGGAGGGCAGGAGGACAGAGCAAAGAACTTCCCCAAAGCTGCCATTTAAAGAGGGCACTCAGGCCAGCCAGCTCTTCATTTCCCACCAGCTGTGCTCCTTGGTTGGGACACCTCCATGCTTATACCCCCAGGAAACCTCACCACCAGGAAACTCATCATCTTTTGAGATTGCGTCAACTTCAGGAGATTAGACATCAGGAGAAGAGAATGGGTGCTGATGTCAATGGGATTTTAAAATATACAATATGAGGAATTGTTTCACTAAAGTAGGGGAATGAGGTCCTCTGGACCCAGTTGAGATTTTAAAATTCTGCACCTCCCTCATCTTCCCTTTTGGATTGTAGACTTCTTGAGAGCAAGTACCTTGTCTTAGGAATCTGTATTCCCCTTGGATAGGTGTCACAATGGATGGGGCATGGACCTGAATTCCAGTCTAGCCTCAGACACTTAATAGCTGTGTGACCCTGGGCAAATCACTTAATTTCTGTCAGCTCAGTTTCCTCATCTGTGAAATGAGCTGGAGAAGGAAATGGCAAACCACTCCAGTATCTTTGCCAAGAAAACCCCAAATGAGATCATGGAGAGTTGGACACGACTGAAAGATGGCTGAACAACCCAGGCTAGCCATCTCCTCATTCCCCTCTGCCTTTCTGCTTCCTTTTGCGTGTTGTCTTTACGAA